GGGATAAGGTCCCAAGTATGTCCTCCCAAAGTATGGACAAGTTGGCAAGAAGTGCTCCCAGACAGAGACTGGACCAAAGCTTTAAAATTGAAGACCATCAGCTTGAACTGTATCCAGAAAAACACTAGTAGCATGTGAGAATCACATAAAATTGACATCCTAACCTTGATAATCCAACCTGAGCTAAAAGAAGCCATTCCTTCCTGCACCAGTTAAATGTTTCTTGAATTTTTCCTAAGATTATTGGGTCATAGTGGATCTTACTTCTTAAGTAGGCAATTTATCAGGATCCAGAAATTTTTTTGTTTTTATTGTAATATTAGTTAATTATTAATTCATGGGTTAATGTACAAGCAAAGTTACATTCTGCCTTATTTTAAAATGTCTATATTTATATATTCACACTCTCCTACTCAACCTTTGAGCTAGCTATGTAATCATTTTCAAAGTACATATATTTAAAACTATTCATATGAATAAAAAAAATAAACAGTAGTGGCTTTCGCAATGTGTGCATGGAATATTTGATTTCTGGATGCTTTGTTTGGCTGGGTTTAGTCTGGCCAATAAAAAAATAGAATTAAAACCTCTCAAGACACAAACGTTTACCAGCATTAATGGGAATGTCCCCAGGTTCAAGTAGCAGCATTTCTTAAGTAACTCTTTGCTTTCTCAAGGGGTCCAATTCAAGTGCTGTTAAATCTTTCAAAATCAATACTGAGTCTATGTATTATGTGGTAGTTCCATCTAAAAATATCTAGTATAGAATATGGGCCAGATACAATAGAGCAGCCAAGCACAAGTAATTTACCAAACAAATCTAAAGCACTCCCACATTGATTTTTGCAGTTTTCTAGCCCCTAGTCACTAAGCAGAGAGAGGGGGAAATGGCTCACTCATAGAGCTACTTCTTGGGGCTACAACATGTCTTAGTGCCTGTAAAGCAGGGTTGCCATCCAGTTACCATTGCCAATGAATTTCTAGGTCATCTTCCCAGTATGATATATTTACTTTTGTGGCCAATATATATAAATACACTTTTAAAAATGTTTTACCAAGTAGGCTATTGGTTGGTAAACCCACACTAAAGAAATGCTTTTATGTTCAAGTATATTCAAATGCAACTGTAGATATGGAATGAAGAAAAACAAAGAGAGAGAAGGAGAGAGGGAGGGAGGGAGATTATTTTTTATAATGATATTAATGATGAGAGAAATAAAATAATAATAGAGGTGTTTGTTTTGATCATTTTGATGAGTATAAATCTTTGGTGCACGTACACAAGCAGAAAGAGAATGAGAGAGAACTTTTTATGTGAATTAAGCAGAATAAAATTTAGACTTCCATGCTTATCAACCACACACACTTGTAAATCCCTTTGCCAATGCAATTTTTTACCACCCCCTTATGTTTTTATTTGCTTCTGCTCCTAATCTCCCTGTGTGAAAATATATACATATGTATCTGAAGAGGATAAATTCCCTTACTCTTTGAGATTAGGCAGCAAGGTATGGAAGATTATTGGTTTAAGTTCTTATAAAACCCATTCTCTGAGCACATCCGTGACTCAGGCATGTTGTATGTAGAGTGCGCTCCCCAATTTTATTACTATTAAGTATCATTAACACACACAGCATCTGCAACCCCTGTTGCCTTGTGTGTTGCTCTCTCTCTTCAAGTCTTTAGTAGTCTCATGCTTATCTATTTCAGTCAAATGTATTTCTTATCAAAAAAAGAGTGAGCAACCTGACAATACACTGTTATCAAGTTTTTTCAGCCGAGACCCACATGTCATTCAGCATGCAGACATGCCTGTGCTTGATTGATGGATGGGTTTGTGACAAATAAAACGAGGATCAACAGCTTTGCACCTTTCCCCCCCATCAGGAACCCAGAGTAAAGCACAACTCTGTAACAATGGCCGGATTAGGGATGCATTAGCTCTCCATCGACCAAAACCCATCCATTCCCATCAATACTTTGCACTTAATAACCTGAAGCTATGATAAGAAAACAAAAGAAGGAGAAAGGGGCACAAGAAAACAAATCAATAGAAGAAGGGAATGTCGTAAAATGTACTGTCCAAATGAAGATTTTTTTTAAAAAAATACATTTTTTTGCTGAATTGGTAGGATAATGCTCCTTGACAAGAGAACAATGTACTGTCAAGGTTTATCAAGGGAAAATTGGCACAGTGCTAAGCACAGGTTTGGCATTCTGAAAGATGGCACTTACTATAGCTAAAAAAACACATCATTCCCAATGTGTAGACAGTATCTGCCGATATCCACCTATCTATAGTACTAGACATCACAAATCTATATGACTCATCCCCATGTCTTATGATACAGATATACATTTGTCTTCTCACTGACTCTGTGTTAAAAGCAGTGGTAACCATTATTTCTAAAGTCTTCTGGACTTATTTAAAACCTTTATATGCTATGATGAAGCGGATCTGAAAGATCACCAGCTACATTGGTCTCCAAAAATAAGCAAAGCATTTATGGGTTGATTATTTGCTCTTCTTCTACAACACACTTTTTTAAAATTTGTTATAGTTATTTGCTGGATTTTTAGCCTGTCTTTCTGCCAAAAATGAGACTTAAGCAAGCTAATATGAAAATTAACTAGAAGAAAAAAAATGAAAATAAGTTTGAACATTGAAAATTTAAAATGTAATATAAAAACATACCAGTAAATGAAAATGCAACATCTGCCCAATTGAAAGTGCATTCTTCAGTTAATGATTCCATTTGTCAAAGGCATTTCTGAATAAAAATGTCTTTACTTGCCAATGAAAGAAGACAGGGCCCAACCAGCATCCCTTTAGAAGCAGTCACCAAGCTGAGGAAGCCCTCTCTCCCATCCCCACAAGATGTGCTTTAGAAGACAGCAAGACTAGCTGCATGGTCTCCCTTGAAGATCTGAAAGCTCATTAATGCTCATATGGGAGAATATGACTCTTCCTCTCTGCACCCAAGTTGTATAGTGCTCTGAAGGCCATTAGCCAACACTTTGAATTGCGGCTGGAACCAGACCAGTAGCCAGTGTAGCTGTTGCAACAAGGCAGACTCCTGCTCCTGCAACCAGACTGGGCCAATGGTCTGGGATTTTTGAACAACAATCTACAAGTGGATGGGAAATATTCCAAGATGTCAAGATCATCTTTGCACATATCACAGAACTTACTTCATTCCAATTCAGGTGGTTTGGGCTCGGGGGCATCAGTATGATTGGCATCAGCTAGTGTGTAGCTCATGGTGTCACCCCCCCCCCCCATGACCTCCTCCCATACCATACCATGCAGAATCCTTAGTATTGTTTTTTTATGTTAACGTTACACATAAATTGTAATTCCCACATATCACTGAATGTAATGGTAATAATTGTGACATAAACAACTAGCAAAAATAAAATTATACCTTTAAATTACAATATCATATGCATAGCCTAAAAATATTTACATGTACATTCAGTAAGATGAGATGTGTTTAAA